TCTCTAGGACCTCCTCGCTAGAAGCTTCGCTTGATGATGTGTCATGGTTGAAGTAGTCAATGTAGTCAAAGTAGACGTAGCCCAAGGTTGTTGTGAGGCCTCCAAATCTTCTCTCAAAAGCGCCAAGCAAAAATCTTCACCCTCTGGAGTGGCTAGCCCTCCGGTATGCTTCCCTTGCCCATCTTGGTCGATGCTCGTGAATGAATCCTCAGTCATGCTTGGTGTATTCGACATAGTTGTGGCAGTGGAAGTAGATGTTCGGACCAAAGTTACTGATGAGCCCCTCGAGTCAAAGTGCTTAGTGAAGGTGTAGTAGACTTTGGTGCCGATGGAGTTGATGTAGCCCCTCGAGCTCGGCGACAGAGGCAAGTCATCGTATGCATTGATGCCAAAGGTGTCGATGAAGGCTCTTGAGCCATTGTAGTGGGTGAATATATATGATGGTGAAGCCCCTCTTGCCGAAGTGTTGGAGGAGGCATGTCATTGTGGTTCGCCGAAGATGTTTGCGATAAGGCCCTCATGCAAAGGTATTTGATGGGGGCGATGTTGGTGTAGAAGCCGAAGGTGTCGACGAAGGCCCTTGAGATATAGTGTAGCCTGAGGCGAGTTGTTGTGGTTCGCGGAGGCTATTGGTGAAGACCCTTCTGCAAAGGTGTTTGGCAAAGGCGATGTTGGTCTAGACGCCGAAGGTGTCGGCGAGGTTCCTTTTGCCGAAGGGCTTAGAAGTCGTGTGAAAATGCACCTGAGCTGATATGGTGCATTTTTAGAGACTTAGCTTGAGCATTGTAGCTTCATCATTTCATAAAGGCACTCTAAGTATAGAAGCTACAACGCTCAACCTTAGCTAATAAACAAGTTGTTCGACACTCCAAAAAGACACTGGCTTTCTATACTTGCTGCAAAAGAAGATTAGTCATTTCATATAATATGCGAGGGTAACGTGAAAGCTTTGCGACCTGGTGCTCGTGTAGGTTCGGGTATGTTTGAAGTTATATGCAATATACAATGTTGGGTTTACATTTATTATTGAAGATAACAAAAAAAGTATTAAGCTTATGTTTTGTTGGTTCTTGTAGCTTGACGTTTATGACCTCCTAGGACGTATCAAGAGAAACACAACCCTGCTTGTAGAATTCTCTGATCCTTAACAGAATATGTAATCACCTTTTAGCTATTTGCTGTTTCATCTTTTCGTTCTATCCTCAACTTCAATTAATTGTTCTTGGTGTTAAAATATGGGCGCATGCATGCTCTTAGACATTCTCATGCCTTCCTTGTATCCTAGGAGCTTCTCTTACTCTAAATGGTTTTCTTGTGCATGTGTGCGCTTGCAAGTAAACCTGGTAATAGTCTAAAAACCGCACCATAACCCATCCTATTCTGCAGCACTACTTCAGCATTATTTTTCAGCGAACAAATAGTGTTTTTCTCTCACAACAAATCAGCATAAACATCGATAACAGTTAAATTTCAGCAAAACAAATAGGGCCAATATGATAGATGCGCGTGAACCATACTGCCTCCACTCCGTTGCTCCTCCCTCCTAAGCCAATCCAAACCAAACCCAAATATTGTTTGACACCAAAAAAATCCAAACCACTTGTGAAACAATGGTTTCGAAACCATTCTAAACATATTTTCGTTACGTTGCTCCTTCCCAGCCGGTCCAGTTCATGCCTACAACAATAGCTAGTTCGTGCCTACAGCAGCACCTAACGCACACCATCTCCCAGCATCAAAAGGAGGTTTGCCTGGTCATCAAGCTGTAGCAAGCTGACAGACCGTTATCTGCTCCTGCTAACCTGCTACTTGGACACCCATGTCGTACCAAAAGGTTAGAATTTGCCAAAACGTCGGCGAACAAAAAAGGAGATTAGGAGAGGACATGGCATCCGATTCCATGGAGGACGGCGAGACGGCGACGACAGCGGTGGCACCAAGACGGCGAGACGGCTCTGTCAGGGTTTGGCGACAGCGACGGCGACGACAGCGGTGACACCAAGGTGCGGCACGCTTTCCACAGTCCACACGAGTTTCATGGCGTCCTCATCAACGAGCGCCTGTTCGGCTGGCTGAAAAAACGGCTGATGCTGATGCTGATGCTGATTTGTTGTGAGAGAAAAACATTATTATTTCGCTGAAAGGGTATGGCTGATAAGTTCAAGCGAACAGGGCCGAGATCAACACCGATCTTCTCGTTCTTTGCCGCATCCGATAGAGAACCGACCCAAACCAGATCAATCCATCCCAGGTGATAATCTAAACCAAACCAGTCCATTAGATTTCTCAGCCCATTTCTCACCAAACTAGCCCACCCCAAAATAAAAACAAAACCATATAAAACGGTTTTGCCCCAAACCGTTAGCAGCTTTACTTGCAGGTGTCCCAACCCCAAGGCGCAGCAACAGACAGTGCAGCTACCACTATTTGTTTAACTGCACTTGAGGATTAGATGTGATAATCTTGCGGAAATACTTTGACGCGGGCGTCCGTCCCCTCGCGTCTGTTCGAACGCGGCTTCCACCCCGCCTCGTCCGTCTCTCTCAAGAAAAAATCTCTCTCGCTCCGTCTCACCCTCCCCATCTCTCGGTCTCTCTCTCGTGTTCGCTGGCAGCAGCAGAGCCCCACGCCGCCACTGCTGTCTCCTTTCTCCACCCAAGCCCACCACGCCACCTCCTCCCTCAGTTCGTGTTGTGTCTCCCCGGCCTCTTCCTCAACCTAGCGTTGTCGAGATGCCTCGCCGCCGCGGGCCGACGCCGTTGCCCCTTCCATTGGCGGCTAGGCATACGTGCCGGGGCGTCTCAGGTCGTCCCTGGTCGAGCCAAGGGGCACCCACGAGCGCTGCCGGTGCTAGTGGTGCTTGCCCCCCGACGACCGGAATCGACCGGCCCTGGTCTCTCCCCCTATGTTGCAAACGTATGTTTCAATTGTTGCAGATGTTTCAGAGGTATGTTGCAAGTATTTTATACGGATGTTGGAAAAATAAATCGGGATGTTGCATATGTTGCAATGGCTATACGCGTATGTTGCAGACGTTTGTTTTAAATGTTTCATCTGTTTTTTAAGACATATGTTGCAAGTGTTTTTATTTAAATATTGCGTATGTTTCACACATATATATTGCAAGTGTTTTTATCTAGATGTTGCATATATTTTGCAATGGCTTTTTAATTGTTTTCAGGTTTTTTTGCAAGTGTTTCAAACGCATGTTTTAAGTGTTTAATCTTTTATGCAAACACATGTTTCATCTGGATGTTTAAAAAGTGGATCGGTGTTGTACATGTTATAATATGGTCCACCTGCCACAACTGTCTGTTGCAGTTGCTAGAGCACCGTGCACGCGTGTGAAAAGCGGAGGGATGGAGCGTTGTGCGGCTACGTTCGTGGGAAGCTGAGGGGAAAGCACGGGAAGCGGCGTGGGCGGTCCTCGTCTGGCGTGAGTGTGTAGCAGCCGCGGGCGTTCGTCGGGATGGTCCGGGTGCTAGTACTGCCCACAATCTTGTATGTGTTTGCGTTGAGGTTGCAACTTGCAAGCTGCTCTTATTTATCTCCAGCTATGTATCTTAGCACTTGTTTATCTTAGCACTGAGTATCTCTGTCTTTTTGAGAGAAGGGAATTATAAATTACCTAGAACCGAAATTACATTCTCGAGCAATTTCGCTCAACTTAAAATGAAGTATGCTAATGCCACACAGCACTGCTTTTGGTTCGATATAATTTCGCTCAACGCAAAATGAAGTATGCTAATGCCACACAGCACTGCTTTTGGTTCGATATATATATGTCGAAAACACGATTCTCTGACTCGAGGATATATTCGCATTCGTCTTGTGTTCCAGCGTACTCCGGTCACATCAGGCCTGTGCAGCTGTGCTGCATCGGCAGCGACACTTTCCCCCTCTCCTCTCCACCGGCCACCGCCCGGAGTCCTCTCCTTCCACGCGGCCACGCCTGGCTCGCTGTCAGGTTGCCATCGGGCAACAAACAGGTCGATTCGAATGTCATGCCAGATTATCAAAACGGGGAATTTTGCGTTGGATTCGATCTACATGAATAGAGGCGAGGGCCAACTACGGAAGCAGCCTGAGTTCCAACCGCATCCTGAGCACTCGAAATAGCCTGCTACGGAGTACGTACTTCACATATTTATATTCTCTTGTTGAGTTCAATGAATTGTGTTGTGTTTATATCCCTCTTGTTTTCACTTTCTACCGTCTAATAAAAACTTCGGCAAATGTCTTGCTGTCCTTTTTTTTTAAAAAAAAACATTCTCTGTCATCCATGAGGACGACGGCCCGGTCAACAATGGGGTCAACCGCAGCAACAGCGAGCCCAGTAGCGACGAATTGCTTTTGCAGCCCATTCAGTCTGGACTCCTGGCCCAGCCAACGACGCGCCGGAGCCCCGAGCACACACTACTCGTCTCCAAGGCCTGCGCTGTCCTTGGCAGTTCCCCGGCGTTCCTCCTCCCCCGCGCGGCTCGCTTGCCCAACCCCAAGCGCTCCCCTCTTCTGCCCGCGCGCTGCCCGCCATCGCCATCGGCTGGCCTAGTTCCTAGGAGGAGCTAGCCGTCATCCGCCCGCATTCTCTTGGAAGCTCAAGCCCCCCCTCCTTCGGCGTCTGCTACAACAAAGGGAAGGATTCAGAGATGCCCAGATTGCGAGTCGGATTCAGGTTCGGCTTGCGTTGCAGCAAATTCAGGTGCGCAGTATGATCGATGATTCCCCATGTTGAGGTTCGACTACAATTCTACCATCATACATAAGTTGTGCCCCCTCATCTCGATCTTCTACTACATATAAACAGAGGCGAGGAACACCCTCCAACCCCGAGTGAGGGCGCCCGCCGCCCAGCGACAGAGTAGAACCTGAAGCCGGAAGCCGGGACGACGGACGACTGGGCGGTGTCTTTGCTTATGGCCGCGAGCGGCGACAGTACAGGGCCGCCGGAGTCGGAAGAGACCGAATTGGTGGGTGGACGGGGGAAGCAGCAGAGCAACATGGCGGCTGCGGCGTCGGGAGAGGGCTCCACTGCCTCATTATTACAACCTGACGCGCCTAGCATCAACATCCCGCTCCCACCGCTCCCTCTTCGCTGCCCTCCGTACCCCGAGTCCGACAATTGGAAAGCTCTGCGCGACTGGAACATGGGATGCTGGAGGATCTCCAAGCTTGCTGCAAAAGGTTACCTGCTTCTCAACTCAAGATTCAATCTCGTTTCTGCTGCGGCCTGCGGGGAACTAACTTTTCGACGCATATCATGTTTGCCCCTTTCTTCAGATCCTCGTAGGCATCTTCCTACTGTCATCAAGCCCAAGGACCGTTATCTAAAAAAAAAAAATCAAGCCCAAGGACTGGCACACTGCCGATGATGTGGCCAGCACAAGAGACAAGGCGCTGGTACTGGGTGTGGGGCGCTCCATTGTTAACGTTTCTTCTGTCGCACTAGGTAAAATTGCCTGATAAACCTGTATCCTTGTTGATTCCTCCTAGCTGATGATAGGCTGATAACTAACAACTATGCCTACTTACTGGTGGGGACGAGGACATTATCCTGGGATGCACTGGCATCGTTGTCGGTTGGAATGAGACCAAGAAGAGCGCTAGAATATTGACTAGTAGTTCTGTAATCGTTGATGGACTTGATCACAAACTTAAGGTGCAAATAAAACTTGCCATCCTATACTATGTGCATGGAGTTTGCCTTGACTTTTACAATTAGTGTTAAGGACAAGTTACATTATACAATCATGGTGCTTTTTCTCATAATGTTTTGTGCAAATGTAATGTAGTGTCCCATCTTCCTGCGAGATGCCCACCTTGATGGCTTTAAGTACCTATTATGTTTATGCTCACTACTTTTTGAATCCACTCAAAAACACCTGTATGGCTGATTTTTTTAAAAAGTTATTATGCCTTGCATTCTTGGACAGATCTTGTTCTCATTTCTTTTTTTCAGATTTTTTATTAGGTACAATCTCTGCAATTTATTTTCATGACTGACCACCTATTGTCTTTTTTGGACTCCTTTTTGTCTTTTTTTCTCGAACACGCAGGAGAGCTACGTATCATTGTATTAATAGAAGAAGAGAGAGTCATACATAGACCCAGACCCACACACACAAACACCCACTACTACATGGAAATTAAATCGCCGGTTTAAAAAAATAAAATGACGACCCAACTGCTACAGCAGTCCATTAGACTGCTCCTTTTTGTGATCTTACCTGCTACTTTGGCTAGTATCAAGTGTTACTGCCTCAACTAAATTCCTACGCATCACCATGCATAATCTGCTGATGCATAATCAGTTCTATACTCTTATTTGTCTTTCTAGATTTTTTCCCGTGTTGCTTTTCAGCTCAACTATTTCCGTGACTCTCCAACCAAGTTTGAGTGCGCCTGATCAAGTTTATTGTTTCGCCCCTTTCAGCTACATGTGCGCTTGCCAAATGAAGCCGTCTTGGAGGGACAGCTTTTGTTCTTCAATAAACATTATCGTATTGCTTTGTTGGAGGTTTCATCAGAGTCAGACTTACCATTGCAGCTCCCTTCTTTTGGGTCTAACCCAAACTATGGTTTGAAGGTATTTGTGTTGGCTAGGGGCAAAGAGTCAAACCTAATGGCTAGGCATGGGAGAATCTTGTGGGTTGACGGACTAGATTATTTAGGGCACAACTACTCCATGTTTCTTAGCTGTGATCTCCCACCAGTAATAATTAAATCACGTTCCTATAATGTATTATTGCTTCATTGTTCAGTTTACTCAGTGGTTTTTATTTGATGTAGAGTGGCATTGGAGGTGTGGTGATTGACCATGATGGCAATGTCGTTGGGATGACATTTGTTAACTCGAAACCTAGTATTCTTGCCATTTCCACCATCATCACATGCATTGAAATGTGGTTGAAGTTCAGGTTTGTTAACCCTTTTTGTCATTGCATTGATATAATTTTGTTAATGCCATAACTGTTAGACAATATAGGTAGTCCAGGTTCAATGTATATCTTTAGGTTGTTATACAAGGAAGTAGATGAGTGATTCTAGGAATCAGTTTGTTGTAATCATGATCTTGTAACCTGCCACGGTGGAGGCTGTTTCCATCTATATAACACGAAACCGAGGATCCCAAGGGGAAACCTTGTTAACCTATTTCGTTTTACATGGTACCAAGAGCCATCTTCCACACGGAGCTCTTCAATGGCGTTTGCGAGTTCATCCTCATTGCCTTCTGCTGCCATGTTTCCCTTTTGCTTTCTTCCAACAAATGAAAAACTCACCCGAGCGAATTTTCCTTCGTGGAAAGCTCAGGTTCTCTCGGCCCTGAGAGGATATCAGTTGGCCGGGTACATTCATCCAGAGGCGCAGTCACCGTCTCCCTTCCTCGCCCCGGAGAAGGGGAAGGAAGATTCGAAGGAACCCCCCAAGCCCAACCCGGAGTATGACGCATGGGTGGCGAAGGATCAGATGGTCCTCAATTACCTCCTCTCCAACATGTCCAAGGAGATTCTTGGGCAGGTGAATCAGGAGATCACCGCGTCGGGCGCATGGCGTGCGCTCGAAAGGATGTTCTCCTCCTCCTCCCGCGCGCGAGTCATCTCCACGCGCATGGCCTTGGCTACGGCCACGAAAGGTACAAATTCCATTAGTGAATATTTTGGGAGGATGAAAACCTTGGCAGATGAGATGGCGTCGGCCGGACGCAAACTTGAGGATGAGGAGCTTGTCTCCTACATCCTTCTGTCGGGTCTCGACCTCGACTTTGACCACCTCGCTGCTCGCCGCGCGGGATCGCGTGTGGAGGAGCCTATCTCCGTCGCCGAGTGTACACCCAGCTCATCGACCACGAGCAAACGGCGTCTCGAGATGCGTAGGCGGCGGGGAACCGATCCTCGGCCAACATGGCGCCGAGGGGAGATCGTGAAGCGATGCAACCGCAGCGGTGGCGGTGGTGGCGTGGCGGCTCCGGAGGCTCGGTCAGTGGAGGCTACGGTCAGCAGCAACAAAGGAGGTCGCGGTGGCGGTGGTGGCCAACGCATTTTACGCTCCCTTCCAACCGGGGTCAAACGCCAAGTCTCTGCACATCAAGGAAGGTCACACCGCCATAGGCTACTTCAAGCGGTTTGACGCATCATACACGCCTCACATGGAGATTAGTCGGCATCATCGGCAACAACATCCTCACAATTACTATCGTGGACACCAAAGAATCGGTATATGGATACCGTGACACGGACCTATCACATCAGAAAGGCAATTTGACAAGGAAAAGTCTGCGATCCAAAGCTCACCGAGGAGAATATCAAGCGCTTTTCAAATACCACGATGGTGAGCAAGTGCACACCGCCCGCACATGGCTAGTATGGAGATCGCATGCTTCCATGCCGGTCATGGCATTTTACGCTCCCCAAACACTAATCTCCAACTCAAACACATTCTTCATGTTCCATCTGCAAGCAAGAATCTATGTTTTTCATAGATGTTAGCAATCGTGATTTGTTGCGAAAATCCGAAGTCTTTCAAATGACAATGATGTTTTCCTAGAAGAAGGACCTTTCTTTAAGCGAGTCTCTATCTCCGGAGAGATGTTATCTTTAATGAAAATGTGTTTCCATTAAATTGGGCTCACTACACCCAAATGCCGTGCTCGCTTGCTTATTCTTGAAAAAATTCTTCTTTACCCGAGACTCTTCTCAATCCCTCGGTATTGGGGAACTCCAAATGTCTGATCATGTGCTGAACTCTCCATTACCTACTCATGCACCTAATGATTCTTCTGGAGTTGCAGCTAGCGCAGGTCAAAATGATGATCGCCGCGTCCAGTTCCCTGCAATTGGCGGCGCATCCACCTCGGGATCAGAGATGATCCCCCCAACCGCATTGTCCCCGGGCGGTACAGCGTCAAGTGCGGGATCCTCTACGCCAACACCGGGATCAACCACGTCTGAGGCCACACCGATCGCGCGTCGCGGCGCATCCACCTCGGGATCGATCCCATGGGCGCCCGAGATGTCGGATCAACACCGCACCCGATCTTGGCTGATCGGCTTCGATCCAAAGGCGAAGCGCGATGGTGCACCTCTTTCTGCGGCCCCGTCCTCTCCTCCGCAACAGCAACGCCCAACTACAAGATTGCAACATGGCATTAGCAAGCCTAAGGTCTACACGGATGGTACAATTCGATGGTGTCAACTTGCCAGCACTGCTGTTGAGGAACCTTCTACTGTCTCTGAGGCACTCAAGGATGATAAGTGGGTCTCGGCAATGGATGCTAAACATCAGGCACTCGTTCGGAATAGAACATGGCATCTTGTTCCACCCCCAAGAGGCAAGAACATAATTGGGTGTAAGTGGGTCTACAAAGTCAAACGGAAAGCAGATGGGTCTGTTGATCGTTACAAGGCACGCCTGGTTGCAAAAGGATACAAGCAGCAGTATGGCATAGACTATGAAGATACCTTCAGTCCAGTCGTCAAAGCTGCTACAATTCGTATTGTTCTCTCTGTTGCATTGTCACAAGGATGGTCACTTCGGCAACTTGACGTCCAGAATGCATTCCTGCATGGAGTTCTCGAGGAAGAGGTATATATGCACCAACCTCCTGGTTACGTTGATCCACAAAGGCCTGATTATGTCTGCAAATTGGACAAGGCCCTCTATGGTTTGAAACAGGCACCGCGGGCATGGTATGCTAGACTCTGTGGCAAGCTTCAACAACTCGGTTTTGTGCCTTCCAAGGCTGATACCTCGCTGTTCTATTATAGAAAGGGAGGTAACAGATTGTTTGTGCTCGTGTATGTGGATGATATTATTGTTGCTAGTTCGTCTCCCCGGGCCACCAGTGCTTTGCTTGCCGACTTGCAGGCTGATTTTGCTCTCAAGGATCTTGGAGATCTACACTACTTCTTGGGGATCGAAGTCAAGAGGGGAAGTCATGGATTGACTCTCACCCAAGAACGCTATGCCATGGATATTTTCAAGCGCTCTGGTATGCATCGCTGTAATGCTATTGACACCCCTTTGTCCTCCACTGAGAAGTTAAGTGTGGCATCCGGTGATAAACTTGGACCTGATGATGCAACAAATTACCGTAGTGTGGTTGGAGCCCTCCAGTACTTGACATTGACACGTCCAAATATAGCCTTTGCAGTGAACAAGGTGTGCCAATTCTTGCACACACCGACCACTGTACATTGGAGCGCCGTGAAGAGGATCCTGAGGTATGTTCGAGGAACTGTAAATCTCGGACTTAGTATTCGGAGGTCCGAGTCGACACTTGTGAGTGCATTCTCTGACGCGGATTGGGCTGGTTGTGTGGATGATAGAAGATCTACAGGAGGTTTTAGTGTTTCTTGTTGATAACTTGATCTCTTGGACAGCCAGGAAGCAACCCACTGTTTCAAGATCCTCCACTGAAGCAGAATACAAAGCTTTAGCAAATGCTACAGCCGAAATGTTATGGGTGCAGAAACTTCTTACTGAATTGGGAATACCACATCCAGCCAAGGCGCGCCTCTGGTGTGATAATTTGGGCGCAACATATTTATCTGCTAATCCCATTTTCCATGCCAGGACCAAACATATCGAGATTGATTTTCACTTTGTTCGAGAACGTGTTGCACAGAAACTTCTGGAGATACGGTTCATACACACTGGTGACCAGGTGGCTGATGGATTCACCAAGGCTTTGCCTATGTTCAAGCTTAGTCAATTCAGGGACAATCTCAACCTTAGAAGTGGCTGAGATTGAGGAGGAGTGTTAGACAATATAGGTAGTCCAGGTTCAATGTATATCTTTAGGTTGTTATACAAGGAAGTAGATGAGTGATTCTAGGAATCAGTTTGTTGTAATCATGATCTTGTAACCTGCCACGGTGGAGGCTGTTTCCATCTATATAACACGAAACCGAGGATCCCAAGGGGAAACCTCGTTAACCTATTTCGTTTTACAATAACACCTAACTTAAATTGGTCTCGATAGTTTACACTCTCTGGGTTATATATGCAGCGCTGTTCCAACTTATCTCATGTTTCTAAAAGTTTGTATTTGACAATGCTTTACTGATCAACTTACTCCATGTTGAAATATATATGTTCTCGTCATTTGTATTGAATCTAAAAATGGAACCCCCACATACCCAAACTTGTAAAATGTGTGGGATGACAACATCACAATTAGGAAGACAGGAAAACTGGTTGGTGGCATTGTTGTCATCCAAACATGCGCTAGCCTGGATCAGCTATTAGGTACTTCCTCTATCCCAAATTATAAGACGTTTTGGCTTTTCTAAATACATAGATTTTGCTATGTACTAAGATATACATTATGTCTAGGTACATAATAAAAGCAATGTATGCAAAAGGTCTAAACGTCTTATAATTTGGAACAGAGGGATTACAATTATCGGAATCAACATAATGTATTAATGGTACATATCCAGACTAAATTGCTAAACCTTAGCAGGTTCTGTCCAACGAGTGTGTCCTGTGAATATTTTTGGAGCTTAATGGGTTTCTATTAGCAGCTAATGCCATTTGAAGTTAAAATCCAATGCAAGAAAAGAGTGTCATGATTAGTGCTGTACCCACAAATTAATAGCAACAATAACACTTGAAATACTTGTATTTTTGAGGTGATTCTAATATATCCTTGAGCTCACGTATCATTTAAGTGATAATGATCCGATCATATGTAATTGTTATCTTAGGCTTGACATCAAATATATGATGCCTATTTTGAATTTTATATGTGATTAGTTTAATCCAACTTATTTCAGTCGGATTGCTCGACCTGCACATGGTTTGCGCTTAAGGACAGTGGACCTGCTGGAGGTGTCACTCCAGGAGGTGATCTCTCGTGATTCCAACATCCACAGTGGTTACATCGTCGATCAGGTACAACATCCACAGGTGCAGATCCTCCACTGCCAGCAAGGAACTTTCCCGCAAACCTACCTTGGACTTCCTCTGTCTAACACGAAGCTGCGGCTGTCGGCTTTTGCTCCACTCATTGCAAAGGCAGACAGGTACCTTGCGGGCTGGGAAGCAACCCTGCTGAGCCCCGCGGGGAGGGTGGTCCTGATCAACACAGTCTTGGATGGCCTGCCAACTTATCTGATGTGTGCTCTAGCTTTGCCGGTTGGGATCAAGGAAGCCCTGGACGCTAAGCGCAGGGCGTTCCTCTGGAATGGCTCCAACAAAACCTCCGGAGCCAAGTGTCTGGTGGCCTGGGAGAAAGTATGTACCATGAAAGAAGATGGAGGGCTTGGCATCAAAAGGTTGGACACTCAGAATGCATGTCTGCTGTTGAAGCTTGTGCACAGACTACATCACCCGGAGGATTCCTCGTGGGCGACATGGGCATGACAACGAGTCTGGCTGGTGGATCTCCAGGGAGACATGGCCGGTGATCACTGGGAGGCTCTTAGAAGTCTGATGCCGGCCTACCGCAGCATTTCATATGTGAAGGTTGGAGACGGATCGGAAACTTCCTTCTGGGAAGATCAGTGGATAATAGACAGCACACTCGCGGCTAAGTTCCCGGCCCTGCATACCCACTTCGTGGGAGGCGACATGTCGGTGCAGCAGGTGATGACCCGTGGCCTCTCCTCCCTCCTCCAACCACGGCTCACTCAAAGAGCACAAAGTGAGCTACAACAACTACAGCTCTCTGGCAGTGTGACCCTAACTGAAGAGCGGGATGAGAGAGTGTGTGCATTTGAGAAGGAGGACCACAAGTTAGCAACAGCCCTGATCTACAGAGCATCGATGAGAGGGGAACAACAACTCCCCTCCTTTGCCTTTGTCTGGCGTAACTTTGCACCTCCCAGGGTCAAGTTCTTTGCTTGGCTCCTCCTACAAAACCGGATTCAATGCAAAGTGAATCTGGAGAAGAAAGGGGTTCTCACTGATACAACTTGTGACCTATGCAAGAAAGAAGATGAAGACGCAAATCACATCATCCTGCACTGTGACTTTGCCCGCCAGTTCTGGAGCTGGATTGGGTGGCAGATGGAACAAATTGACTCGGTGGAGAACTTATGGAACGCCAACATGATGTGGTGTTGGGAACTTATGGAACGCCAACATGATGTTGACCCGGCTGGGACACATCCTAAGGCGACCTCACCCCTGATCCTTCTTTGCTGTTGGGAGCTCTGGAAACACCGACATGATGTGGTGTTCCGGGGCTTGCACCCGAGCATCGACCGGCTTGTGACCACTTGCAAGGCGACTGCAGCTCTCTGGCAGTGTCGCATCCCTAAGAAGGCTTACCTCCTCTCTAACTTCTAGAGATCAATTGTTTGGATGTAATCTACTCCTCCACCCCCTCCCACTATTTGTAATGGCTCCAAGCCAATTGTACTTGGGGCACGGCCCCTCCACCCACCAGACTTTCTGGAATCTATGGTAATATATTCAGGTGGGGACTCATCGTCCCCCCTGGTGTTCTTGCTAAAAAAAAATTATTATTCTTTTCAGTCTGTGCAATGCTATTTTTAGACTAATACTGCAACGCTTGTGACATATCTAGGTAGAGGCTGACTCTACTGCTGAGAGGCTTGGCGTTAGATATGGTGATGTGATTGTTTCATTTGATGGGCTGCGTTCTCACACTCTACCTCGGGTAAAAAATTTCTCTAATATTCATAGGTCATTTTATCTAGGCATAACTATTGTCAACATGCTCAAAATTTGTCTGTAGTTGGAAGACTATCTTCTCTCTCTTGGTTGGAAATTCTTGGAGAAAAACATTGATTCAAGCTCCACAACTGATCTCACGGTATGTTTGAAGTTATATGCAATATACAATGTTGGGTTTACATTTATTATTGAAGATATAACAAAAAAAGTATTAAGCTTATGTTTTGTTGATTCTTGTAGCTTGAAGTTTATGATCTCCTGGGACGTATCAAGAGAAACATCACCCTGCCTGTAGAGTTCTCTGATCCTTAACAGAATATGTAAGCACCTTTTAGCGTGCTCAAATTCAATTAATTGTTCGTGCCGTTAAAATAGGCGCGCATATGCGTGCTCTTAGACATTCTCATGCCTTCTTTCTATCCTAGGAGCTTCTCTTACTCTAAATGGTTTTCTTGTGCATGTGTGTGCGCTTTCAGGTCTCCCAGTCCCAGGGAAGCAGCAACAGAGCAGTGCAGCTACCGCTATTTGTTTAACTACACTTTAGGACTAGATGCGATAATCTTGTGTGTGTTTTCGTTGAAGGTTGCATCTTGCAAGCTGCTCTTATTTATCTCGAGCTATGTATCTTAGCACTTGTAACAAGTGACTTGTTTGTGACTATCTATGTCTTTTTGAGAGGAGAAGAGAATTATAAATTATCCAGAACCGAAATTTTATCCTCGAGTTTCGCTCAATGCAAAATGAAGTATGCTAATGCCACACAGCACTGTTTTGGTTCGATATGTCCAGAACACGATCCTGCTGCTCTCTCACTTGATGATATTCAGAATTCGTCTTGTGTTCCTGCGTACTCCGATCAGGTATGAAGTATGATGCCTCCATCGCCTTGATCATCCACCAAAATAATCGCGAGGAGGACCAACTCAAGCTAGCTGTAGGCCTGTAGCTTCCCGCCATCACCGATTGCATGCCAATGCCGATCGCGTTCGGTTTCGTCAGGCTTGTGCTGCATCGGCAGCGACAGTTTCCCCTTCTTCTCGCCCTCGCCGTCGCGCTTCCTCCACCGCCGGAGGCCTCTCCTTCCACGCTTGGCTGGCTCGCTGTCAGGTTGCCATTGGGCAGCATAGCAAACATGTTTATTCGCAAGCGAGAGACAAAAAGAGTCCGGGTTTCGTGCCAGATTATCTAAAGGGAGGATTTTGCGTCGGATTCGATCTAGTGCACTCCGGAGAGAAGCAGGGTTGAGTTCCAACCCCATGCATGTTGCTGATGGTTTGACTGGCGAGCAGAACTGCAGAGGAGACCGCCGAAATCAAATAGACAGTCAAGCAGCTTAGGAGTTTCAGGCCACAGCGAGCACGCATCAACGGAACTCCGGGAGCGTCCGGGGAGGCGGCCAGCCGGCGAGCGATGACATGGGACTGGCCGCGCTGTTCATGTCGGAGAAGGAAAGATTGTCGTCGAGGCGCCGCGCTGTTCACGTCGGAGAATGAAAGATGTCGAGGTCCGGGACGGTCTCCCAGAAGAGGGGTGGGAGCAAGCAACACAGATACAGAGACTACAGAGTAACAGAGGTAGGGAGTGCCCAGAATCGGCAATATTCTTGCAAAACCTTATCCCTTGCATTGGATTTGCTTTCTTTTTTTGGCGGTAGAAAATAAACATTTTTTTAAATCTTTATTAGTACCCCTGCGTCTCAAGATAAGTACACTTCTAGGATGGATAGAAAAACCAATACTATTACAAAATTACGTTGTAAATAGAGAAAGTAGCACTGAGGCATTCGGTCACAGAAAGAAGCAGAGGCTGCAGCCGGCTGCAACTACTGCTAAGTGATATGAGAGAACAAAAAGTAATTTGCGAACGCCCCTACTTACTAGTGTAAGAAGGTCCATGGCCTAGAAATATACTTATTGTGAAATAAATTTTGAATGTTAGAAGTATATTTATTTTGGGATGAAGTGGGTATTTAATTACGCAAATCCTGAAAAAAAATATAGACAATGCAGGCTTACTAAAATAGAAGTTTTAAGGTCACTCAGTTCCTCCCCACTAAACAGTGGTAACACATGCATCTATTCCTTTTTATATGATTGTGAAGCACCACTGTTTTTCCAAGTACTACAAGTCTAGATTCATGTTGCAGAGAATGATGATATATGGTATAGCACTAGCGTCACATAGGAAAAGATAAGACCCTACTGCCTAAGAGCATCTCTAGTAAACTGCCTAAACAGCCCCCTACTCTATATTTGAGTAGTCGAGCAAAAATTCCACCTCCAGCAGACTGCCTATTTGGCCTCCTAAATTTGTCAGCTACCCAAATACTCTCTCCCACTACCCATCCCAAGTGTCAATTAAGAGGCCCCTACTTTATTAATATTGGATATTTTGCATCCCAATCTATGTCCAAATTCTTTTCCCTGAAATTTTTAAAAGTTGTTGGCATTTTCTGCAGTTTTAAACCATGACCAAGTATTTGCCGATTTTTAACTAAAAAGGACAAAACCACATTCGAAACCACTCCAAACCAGGGCAGCGAGGTAATTTAAACGGTTTTGAGATTTCAGGGAGTAAGATGTTCATTTTGAAGTTTGAGGAGCAAAATTAGACTGCGGCGACTGTGTTCCCTAAGTCTAGTTATGAGAAGCTTTTTTACTTATGCACCATGCTCTCGGGGTCAATTATGAGCAGGGGATTGCAAATATGTGTCAGTGGGTTGAGGGACTATTCACGATTGTCGACCAGAGGCAATCCGAGGTAGGGTTACAGCTATAGTCCTAATCGGTTTACAAGTAGATTTTCTAGTCGGTTGCAACAAATAAAGTTGCTTTCTATGTATATCTTTCTACGTATTGTCCCCAAGTAGATGAGGTATCCCCGTTCAGTTAGACCTCTCGAGTAGTTGGATCGGGTCACCCCAAAGTTAGGTTTTTCCCTTGAGATGTGGGTACCCAGGTACCATGTAGTCAATACTATTCCATCTATTCTTTTTTATATATGGTGTTTATAAATGTTATAGGAATGTTAGTCAATTATGTAGTTTAGAGTTTGTATAGATTATTGCAAAATACTACCGCTTAAAACCTTAGACATGTTGATGTTTCTTATACGCATGTTTGGTACTTTGATTCATGCAAATAAGCATGGTTCCTGATTTTGTGTACCACAATTTTCACGGCTGCCATATTTTGTGCAATGTTAGTTGTAGGCTGAGGCCAAAGTTAGATGCCAACTAAACAACCTCTTGAGTTTGCTCTTCTTATCTTACTTCCTAGTTACTATTTCTTCTTCATCACACCCTCTACTTTCAACAATTGTTATTTATCATTCGTTTCTTCTGGAACCCTCTTCCTTCTTACTAGTATCCACGGCAAAAAAAAAAAAAAAAAAAAAACAAAACTGTTGTTTAGAATAACCTAAAACCAACAAACATCTATAACTTTTGAAACGCATGCTTAGGCCAAGTGATGAAAAGTCGATAGTGCATGAGCTATATGATGTGCATGCCTCATGAGTGCTCTATAATGTCAGGGTTTTGACTTTTGATAGTTGATATTACAAAAAATGGCATGTCGGATTTTAGGTTCACTAACAATGATGATTAATTTAGGTGCTACATAATAACAATTTTAGGTCCATTTATAAGACTGGCTCACTCTTTGGCTGAACCTGCCTCCTATAGGTCTTTGTGATTTAGTTATCGTTGTGGAGCTCTTGACATGTTTTATTGTTTATTAAATAGGTAGGGAGTAAAGAAGTTTAATATACCTTTTATTTGTTCACAGCAAGGGTGGACCCTACATTGCCTATCATCTCAAGAAGAGCATTTTAACCAAAATACATTCAAAGAGGTTGGCATGGGGAGAAGGGGCGTCAAATATTAGCACAGTACAGTGAACTTCAGCATATTGGCTAGCTGTGCAGTGCATTGATTTAATCAATTCACGTTTAGCTAATTATCCGATGTTGTTATTCCTGGTTGGCAATTAGATTAATTTATGAGTGCAGTTTTCTTTTTCACAAAGTTGCTCGAACTGTAACTAGTTCTGTTAGTTAAGCCCGAACATTTAACCATACTTTTTACTGGGTGAATGAAAGGAACTTGTGGGATGACGTCTTTTCTTATCATCTGTTCATGTGTTGCTTTTCCCCTCTCCTGTATCTGCTTGTAGGTATAGCAAAGGGAAACAATAGCATTGTGTTTGTTTAATTCCATTCCCTTGAGGACATGATGGTTGCCTAAGTGTTCAGTTGCTAGAACCATCTAGCTCTTACCTATCACCAGGGATGTACTGTATTCTCACTGTGAATGGAACGTGAAAGATAGCATTGTAGAATGCTTGCTGCATCGGTAGAGACTGGAACTTTTGTTCCGTCATTAAAAAAAGAATGCTTCGCTACCGAAAACACTAGGTATGCCGAGTGCCTGAGGGTTTGCCGAGTTCATTTCATTGGGCACTCGACAAACCTGTTGTGTGCCGAGTGCCGCCGTAGAAACATTCGGCAAACATATTGCACTCGGTAAAAAGCCACTTTGCCGAGTGCCTTAAAGTAAACACTCGGCAAACATCAGGCACTCGGCAAAATACTAGCACGTGCGCCGGCCGTGCAACGGCCGCCAGCTGGAGCGCCCTGCCGTTAGCACTTTGCCGAGTGTCCGTCAGTGACACTCGGCAAAGTTTTGAGGGCAGGAGAGGGAAAAAAAGTTTAGGCTTTGCTAAGAGCCAACAAAAAACACTTGGCAAAATGGTTACTTTGCCGAGTGCCATAACGAAACACTCGGCTTATTTGCCTGGAATGTGACACACGGCAAAGGAGGAAGCGTTTGCCGAGTGCCTGGAATGTGACACACGGCAAAGGAGGAAGCGTTTGCCGAGTGCCTGGAATGTGACACACGACAAAGGAGGAATCTTTGCCGAGTGCCTGGAATTTGACACTCGGCAAACTCGCCGTGACCGTCTCCACTCCATCACGTTACTTTTTTTCGCCGAGCGTCGGTTTCAGCTCTCGGCAAAGTGTTTGCCGAGTGTCCGATAAAAAACACTCGGCAAAGAGACGTTTGCCGGCACTGTAGATGCCGTGTGCTGTTTGCCGAGTGTTTTTTGGGCTTTGCTGGGCACACGGCAAAGCGACTGTTTCAGGTAGTGCTTGTTGCATTCTTCACTTTGGATCTGCCTATCTAACAGTGATTTTTTCTTAATATGGAGAACATACTTCCATTAGTAATAAGCTTTTAGATTTGTCGGCAGAGACTAGCTCAGATACACATTATGATGCTTGGCCCCAAAAAGAATAGGATGCAGAAGAAA